ACATAGATAATCAACTGAAGTCCTTTCAGATTCATGTTTTGACATGCCCCTGACAAATAGAGAGAGCATATAATGTATCTTTTCTAGTCTGAGCTCGAGTACGAAACGTCTTTTTTACCATAAAAAAAATGTAAAAGCCTAATAAGTTCAGTCGTAGGCTATGCTAGTTGCAAGCAGGGCATTTCAGCTCACTTATTTCACCAGAGCGAATAACTTGTCACGCCCGGCTCCGTACGATCCTTCTGTGTGCCACGCCCACCTCATTACCTTGTGTTTATTCCCGATTGTGATCACCTGTGTCCTGTTATGTTTGACTGGTCCTGGGCATATTAGTCCGCGTCTCCCTCGGTTTCCCAGATCCGTCACTGTATTGTTATGTCTAGTGGTCAGAGTTCCCCGTGTGCTCCTGGTTCCTACAAATAAACCCCGTTTCACCCGTCAGTCCGGCTCCTTTCGCCTGCCTGTCTGCTCGCCTACACCGCGAACGTAACATAACTAGAGCTAGCCCTACAGGGACTATTTGGCTTTTTTTTTAAAAAAGAAAAAAAATAACAGTTCAGCTGGCCTAGACAGGATTACTATAGTGTTTGTTGAACTGTAAGGCTTAAATGCCTATTAAACTGGGGGAACGCTCTTGAGTGTACTTATAACTGTCTTGTTATACCATAAAGAATTGCCGTAGCCTACAATTGTATTTATATACATGAGAGATATGCTACCCAAAGTCTTGTATTTGCCTGACCTAGCAGAGGTTTGTCAGAGAGTTGCCATTGTTTTGCTATTGCCTTGTGGGCAAGTGAGAAATGTTAAATAAATTGTTTTGCTATTGCCTTGTGGGCAAGTGAGAAATGTTAAATAAAGCAACATGGTAAAAAGATGAAAATGACTTGATTTTACTTTCAATTCCTTTTACATTCTCCAAGGTATTAACATTAACATTTTTCATAACTCCATGTAGGACGTTTCTGTACATAAATGTAAGCACTGTGGCAGTAGTAATGCAATATTTAGAAAATGTACTCTTGTACTCTTGATACTCAAGTGCTTTTAAAAACAAGTACTTCAGTACTTTTACTTAAGTAGACATCTGACTGTAGTACTTTTACTTGTACTTGAGTAAAATTTAGCAAGGGGTATCTGTACTTTTACTCAAGTAATGAACCTGAGTACTCTGTCCGCCTCTGGTCGTCATTATGAAACAAAACATTCTGCAGCTTTCTCAAAGTACAGCGGCGAGGCGCGAAAACAGAAGGCTAACGAGCTGCTTGCTAAACCACTGTTGCCAACTCCTCAGCAAGGAATGTCGCTATTGGTTGTCACAAAAGTCGCTAGAAGTATATACTGTACATAATGTGCATGTAATTATAATGGACGCTGTAGGAGAGAGGAATAATGTCGTGGGAGAGACAAAAAGTGGTTAAAAAAACACCCTAAATACGTTTAGAACTACAAATGAACTTTCTTCTGTCGATTCTTGTTTTTTTATATCATAATTCCAACTCTCTTCCTATATCCGGGCTTGGGACCGGCAAAAGTGACCCCAAAGAGACACTCTGGCGGAATTACTTATTCTTAAAAACTGTCATACGTGGCAGAGTTTTTGGCAATAATCCAGGGCAGAAACAGCCAGTGGTGGCTTCGCGCATGCGCAATTCATTTGCAGTCTGGTCAAGGAAAGGTGAACATTTCTTGCTCTGACTGCAGCTGGGCGGGTTGCTGCGTGAGGACTGTCTACCTGTGAATGCTTTGGGACGGGAGAGGAGCCCACGGCAGCACCCGCTGCTCGGTGAGGAGAGTAAGAACGATACGTGCTTCCATGTCAGAGTCTCCAAAAGTCTCCAATAACACTAGAAAAAGTCGCTAGATTTGTCGCTAGTCGCTTTTTTGAAAACGAGTCGCCAGAGAGGTCTAAAAACTCGCTAAATATAGCGACAAAGTCGCTAAGTTGGCAACACTGTGCTAAACTTCGATTCGAACAGAGCGCGCTGCTACGTCCTTTAACAGCACAAGAAAGCGCCACACGGGCCAGTTATCAGACTTCCGCTCTAATTGCTAAAAGTGGAAGAGCCTCCGCTACTGGAGAGTTCGTCAAGGAATGTCTTGCAAATTTACTTTTGGCCCACGGCACCTCAGTCAAGTTTGATTTTTGGCCCTTCATAGGAAAAAGTTTGGGCACCCCTGCTTTAGGCGTAAAGTTTTAAGACATTTTGGCCCTGTTGGCCTTCTATATGCTGGCACCCACTGAGTGGCAAATAGTCTGAGTGGCAGCGTTAGTGCTTATCTCGAATGCCGCAAAAAACACATCTAAATCGGGAAAGAGCTATCATGCGATTGATCGTACAAATCGATTTAAAAAGAAATAGGAGCTAAGTTTACAAACTGCTGAAAATTAAATAAGTAAGTATCGGACATGGATCAGTCACATATGCCTGATACCCGACCCGTCTAATTAGGTCTGTGAATATCGGATCAGTGCATATCTACTTATTAGAGGTGTGAGTGAGTTAGTTTGGCGCCTCATTGCAAAATGGTGACATGATTTGTAATACATGTTTACTGAAACAGATTTGCCTTTGTCATTCACCATGTAAAATTGCTTGTTTCGTGTATGTATAGATTTCATGTGCAAGACGAACCTAGAAGGCAAATGCATGTACAGTGGTACCTCAGTTCTCGAACTCATTAGAACTCGAATGTCTTAAAAGTCGAATCAACCAATTCGAAAAAAAATGACCTAGAACTTGATCTGAATCTCAGAAGTCAAACCGTGAACGCCGACCTAAGATAACTTGTACACCTGGGAAAATGAGTCACGCAGCACGTCTTTCAGCGGAAACAAAGGGTAACGCTTCAGTCTCAGTCTTGCATTCGCTGTGATAGCATCATGCATGTTTACATTAGCAGAATACATATATATTTAGACAGTAAAAATACATTTAGACAATGATAGACAGTAACAGTAATTATTATATAATAAAATACATTTTAAAATAAAGATTATTTTAAAAGATAATTATTTTAATATTAATAATAAACCATTAATACATATAATTATAACAATATTGTCATGCCGAGCGGGGACGGAACGGAGACAAAGGCGCAGATGTCAGGGTATCGGGGAATATGGGGTTTAATTACAGGTAAGGCAGGCAAAATGCAGACGGACAATACAATGACCGGACTAGGGAAACAAACTGAAACGCGGACAAGATACAGAGGACTAATGACAACAACCAGAAACAGCTGATCACACGGGGATTTCACACGGGATTAACAAGGGGGCGTGGCACACGGAAGGAGTGGACGATCGGGGCAGGACACATTGGTTTTTTTTTACTTTACACATTGTTTGGATACATTTATTTTCTTACTTTACAAATTACTGTTTTGATAAATGTGCTTAGATGTATTTAATACAGTATATGCTCTTCTTGTTTTATCCTGTTCATTTTATGTTCAAATGCTAAAAAAAAACATATTTAGGTGTAATTTTTTGGGGCCGGGAACCAATTAATTGGTTTTCCATAATTTCTTATGGGGAAAATTCAATCAGAACTCGAACTTTTAGGATTCGGTCCGGAGTTCTGAACGGATTAATTTCGAGATCTAAGGTACCACTGTATGTTGTTTTCTGCAGGAGCAAATAGATTATGAGAATCCACCAGTGAGTACTCCTCTCCCTATGCTCAGCCAGCAGCAATTACACAGGGTTTAAAGCAGCATCTTACTTAGAATCGAGAAATAAATGGGTTTGGCAGTTTACCTTGATGACTGCGTGGTCACATCCCATCCTGTTTGGTGTTTTTTTTCTGAGGTTAAACCGTCTCTCTGCTGTGTAGATGAAGTAAAATTTCCTGTCTGCTGTAAAGCTGTAGTCAGCTCTCCCTGTTTCGGTGAAAATGCCCATGCTGTGGAAGACCAGGTCAAAATATATTTATACGGTTTCATAATATATATCTTTAATAAAAATTAATCTACAACCAATAAAACTGCTGAATGTATCACAGGCCATAAGAACCTAGGATTTCATTACTGAGTATTTCACTATGTAATCATAATTGTGTCATAGTCAGTCTGCCCGAAGGATGTAATAATAATAAAAATAATAATTATTATTATTATTAGTAGTAGTAGTAGTAGTAGTACAGAAGTAGTAGTATCATTATTATTATTATTATAGGCAATATCCGTTTAAAATATGTAACACAGAGGAGTTCATATAACCTACAGTCTGATGCTATGAGCTGCAGGCTAATTTAATAATTCACCTTCCATCACCATCAGCTGTAGATAGACACCATCATGTGCTGCCCCATGAATCTCCACAGCACACCAGTAAGTGTCAGAGTCCGTTTCCTGCAGGTTCCTCATGGCCACATTAAAGACCAGGTGGGTGGGGTCATCACTGAGTGACACTTTCCCGTCTGGTTGCTGGGAGTCAGAACGTGCCAATGTGGAGCAGGAATTCCAGTCACGCCCTCTACACCAGTACTTCACGTGGTGTTTATACTTCTGATCATAGTAACATGGGATGGTGACAGATCCTCCTCTCTCTGCAGATACCCAGCTCACAGTCCTCACACTCCAAGCACCTGTATGATGTGGAAATTAAAAATGTCAGAAGAGCCCCCCCTTCACAAATCAACCTACATTTTATAGCTTTTCTGTCACTGACATCCCTACATGAACTTGCCAGATGTTTCTTGTTGGCTCATCTCCTTGTTTCTCGTTAGCTCAACTCTTATTTACTTTCTCATTAGTTCATCTCTTTGTTCCTTTTTAGCTCGGCTCTTATCTATCTCGCTATCTTTCAAGGTTCCTGGTACAGGGCCCTTCAGTTCTGCCCTTAAACCTCCTAAAATTTCCTGCAAGGGCCTCACCTGCTCACATATCTTTGTTCATATAATATTCCATGTTCAATAAATGTGAAAAATTATGGAGGGCTAAGAGTGCCAAAATTAAATAAATAAATACACCAATAATTAATTAATTA